GCGGTCACTCAGGTCGAGATCTGAGCTTCAAATGATCTCTCCCCTCACTGCAATGGTGCTGAAAGACAACGAGACCCGATTGGCTGGACCGAAAGAGCCGAACTCCGAGCTGCAGCGCGGAGTAACGTCGATGCGTTCACGTCCGTAGGAAAACTCAAAATCATGACGTCAGCACGCATGAAAACTAAAATCACTGCCGCAGGCTACATGAAGTTAATAAATACAAAAATAGATTGTGTATGAGATTATGAAACGTTTTTCTAATGAGGTTGTTCATTCAAAAACAACAGAACACAAAACGTTTCATAAAAATTGTATACATTTGACTAAATGAGAAAACAATCTAAAAAGTGTAATTCGTTTGTAAATAAATAATCTCAGTTTTAAGAAGACTGAAAAAAAAAAACACATATTACTTCTCAAAATGGGATGGATGTGTCTGGTTTTTTTTTTTTTTTTTTTTGCATTGCATTTTATTCAGACTACTTTTGTATTAAATAGCTGATTAAATTGAAATCAGTCCAAACCATTTTTTTTCCCACATTTTTTTTAAAAAGCAGATTTCAAGAATTTTAAGAAATCACTTAATAAGACATATTTTCTACAGGCTCACATTAAAGATGCTCATTGAAAACCAAGAAATTAAACATATAGCTAAATGAAAAATCTGATTATTTTCCATCTTGATGAAATAAAATTCTAAAAACAAGCTATTAACTTTCACAAATATAAGCTGAAACACAGTGGGAATTTTTGAGTTATTTAGTTGTAATGGTACTCATTGCAAAGAATGAAATTACTATAAAAAAAACTTATTCTGTCCTACAAAGATGCAGTCTGAAAGAGTTTACTTCTTGATTTTTCAAGATATGTAATTCTAAAACGCAGAGAAAATCACTCGTCGGAATACCCCAAATGTGGAAGCTTACAGTTTACTTTACTCAACAAACCTGAGCATATATATTGAGACCACTACATACAATTTTTGAGACTTTCTCAAACAGCTTTTCCATGTACATGACATTGTTGATCTACTTCAGTCACTTTGACTGTTTCCAATGCATGTGGTAGATGGCAGCCGTTTACTAATTTTGCATAATTTATTTTTATTCAAGGACACATTAACCAGTAATATTTAAAAAGTTCAGATTTTGTTTCTCAATGCATTATCTTTTTTGCTTAACCAGTTTTCATGACATTGCAATGATTATGAAAAATCCAAACAACTCTAACTTTAAAAAACCAGGTCTGCGTCGAAAGAAACCCGTTTGTCTCAAGCATTCAGTCCTCCTCTAGGGGTTAAAACAAATGTTCATTAAATCAGGAAGTCCCTCCCCTGTGATTCCACCTGAGCAAAATTTGCTTCAGAATGAATTTTAATATTTCCGTTACCTTGCTAATAACATTTACATATTAAAAAGTTGTTTTGGATCCAAAACAAACTCTCAAGGATTGTCACAAGCATGACTATTCATACTCCCATGGTAAAATATTATTTTCTGATTTTGAACCTATTATGTACATTTAAAAAAACTCAAATGTTATGAAAATAGTTTAGATATTGAAAACATTAAATGTGTTGTGGGCGGGGTCAAAGGTTGAGTCTAGAGATGGGTCAAGTTTGTCCCCGCCTACTTTGTAAACTCCGCCCCTGCCGACTTCAGACTGCAGGAGTTCTTCAACAATCTCCAAGTAGGTATCTCTGCAGGCAAATTCGGAAGGCGTATCTGGGCGATCATATCTGATTGGACTATAGGAAAGTGGGCGTATCTGGGCGGTCATATCTGATTGGACTTTATGAAAATGGGCGTGTCTGGCCCCGCATCTGATTGGACAAGAAAAAAATGGGCGTGTCTGGTTGGCCATATTTGATTGGACAATAAAAAATAGGCGTGTCTGGCCGGCCACATCTGATTGGACGATAGAAAAAAAGGCTGAACGATAAAATGCCATAACCACAGACATATGATGTCTAAAAACAAGGCGTTATTGGCAGATTGTGTTAACCACAGGTATATTATGTCTATGGTGTTAACCGGTTCGACATTAGCGGCGTCTCAGGTTTAACACTGGCGGCGTCTCGGTTCGACATTGCTCCATAACTTCTTTTTTTCGCCTCTCTTAACACAGAACTTCCGGTTACATTTCAAAATAAGAGCAACATTACTGGTTAGTGGGGAGAGTTAAATGTTAGTTTTTTTTTAATACCAAGCCATAACATTAAAAAACAAATTCCATTTTGGTTGTTGAAAAATGTGAAAAAGTTACAATCGATTCATAAAGAAAGAAAAATATTAATGATACTTAAACTGGCCTTGGGACAAAGAATGTTTCCTTTAACGTCACATTTTCTTGTTCAACTTGCAGTCACTACAGATGTGATTTGTCAGTTTCTGTAAGATTTCTGCAACTGGAGCAGGTATTTCTGTTTACTGGTTAACTTCCTCAGCTGTCTCACATTTTAAAGGTCAACCCTACTCCATGTTTCAGTAGAAAACAAGCACATTTAGGAGTCCGTACATAACCAGACTTTTGGCCCTCACACCTGTACCCAGTTGCTTATGCTGCATGATGAGATCAGATTTATCCATATTTTAGAAATTACATTTAGCTTAGTCGACAAAACAATACAAATGAAGACTGTCTGTCTTAAAAAAAACCTCTTGGTTTTGCAGTAAGCAGCCTGATTTCAAACTGACATCTTGGCCAAAGGTAAAATAAAAATCTTTGTGTTCTCAGAAAAGTTGTTTCAGGACCTCCAATAAACTTATGTACACATCAAAGCACACAAGACAGATTCAGGAATTCTCTTTGTTTTCCAGATTTCACATTTGTTATTACCTTAAAACATACTCAGACAACATTTGATGCATCATTGAATTTTTTTTTATTGTGTTTATTGGGACATCCATTTTTAGAAGTCATCATAGCATCTGTTGGAAACACAAAACATAGTACAGTTAGGGTGTTGCTAGTTGTTACTTATTGTAATGTGTGGGCATCACAGTACAAAAGCTACACTACTAACTCTGCATCCATGGCACAAAAGTGGGTGCAGTACCCAGGAGTAATGGCTTCACTGTGGAAGACCCTCAGCTCTCCTCTTTTGCCACTGCCCCAGAAACTTGCACCACAATCTTTAAATTCTTCTCCACAGACAGAAATGACATAAGGCTTTCTGTGCTCAGCCTGAAACTCTTCAGAATATTTCCTCCAGTTCACATCACCTGAAGTTGTAATAAAAATATGATTAGATCACCAAGCACAACATTTTTACAAAATAGCAGTTCTACACGGCCTGGGCTGTTTTCCTTCCCCAATCTATTCAAAATGAATACCAAAAGTTAATTTTGATATTTTTTTCACAAGGAAAAAAAAAGTTGATTTCCTAAAGTTTAACTATAAATGAAGGAATTTGTACATTCAGGTCATTGAAAATTAAGTAATTTCTCTAACATCCAACCCATTTTAGCCATTGAGCCATACCAAACACCCATAATCTATTCTTGAATGAATTACTGACTATTATTGACAAATTACAGACTTATTATTGAATAAGTTATTACTCGTTATTGAATCATTGACAAATTACACTCATGTTCGTGTTAACTCATGTTGCAACAAGGTCAGCAACTTTTGACCATTACTATGAACTATGTTAAACTTTGTAGGTGATTTACTTTGAAAGTCAACATCAGATGTTGGTCAAAGTTTTTGAGCAACATCTTGGGGTCTTCTAGAGCAGGGGTGTCAAACCCACTTACAAAAGGGGCCAAAATTAAAACCTTTTACAAACTAAGGGCCGGTTACAGAATCTACATAAACTCAAGTCAGACACCAACATCTTTTCTTGAGTGCAGGTTCCTCAACAAGAGTTTGATTGGTCTCATTTGACATTCTCTGTTACAGTTTTGACATCATAATCAAAGATTACTGAAAAAAATTAAAGTGATAAAAGCATTTTGCTTTTAAAATAACATCTTGGGGGCCAGATAAGATGTCAAAGAGGGCCACATTTGGCCCCCGGGCCTTGAGTTTGACACGTGTTCTAGAGTCAACCTGAAGTGAGAGTGGTTCCTGACATGGCAGAAAGACATAGATATAATTAACGGCTTTTATTTGTTTATTTTTCAGCTAATAGCAACTTGTATTTATTTGTTTTTCATATTTTTCAGTTATACACAGCTTTAAAATATTTTTTTTTCAAGTATTTTTTATTTTCAGCTTTTATTTTGAAAAGCACCACCCAGTTGTTGTACACGTGCACAGTGAGAGCTGCTGGAGCCGAGTGGAGGTTCACTTAGCTGAGTGACTTTACCTCAGTGCGTTACCTGCATGGGAATTCCCCACCATGTTTTCACGTGAGCTAAACTTCTAAAGCACGACAACAACGAGAGAACGGTCGAAACTATCGTGACCTACAATAAACGTACTTCAATAATATGCATAAGTGAAAACATAACATGCTTTATAAGTACAATAAATCATATTTCTTTGTCAAACATCGCAAAGAAACATTACCTCATCAATAATCCTCGTGACTTTGAGGGTTACTCATAGCCAATCAGTGTTCGCCGCCCACAAACGCCTATTCGCCAGAAACGCCCACTTTTGGTCTGCAGAGAGCCCCTTTTCACAATATCCGCCTTTCGTTATTATACTTTCACTTTCATTTGAATCTGCTTTCAGCTCTGCCTTCTAAAAGTGAGTAACTCGTCACCTTGTTGGCGTCTTTTTGGTACTTTCCCAAACGAAATTTTAGAGAAGTGCGTCATCTTTCCGCCTCTAGGGAAATATTTTCCTAATTACGTTCTTTTATTCCCTTCTCGAACTTGAAAGGTAGGTTGTTCATGTAATCTCTATTGCAATCGCTCGTTTATCTTTATTTTTTACCACTTTAAACTTCATTACGATCTGAACTGTTGTCTTAATATTGAACCTGCTTCCTGATTGACTGTTTATTAAAGGTTTTTAATCATCAAGCTTCACGGATCAACACCATGGTGTCACACTTGGACCAGAGTCTCCTACAGGACATTAATGCAGTAGCAGAGGCTCTCAGCAGCAGTGAGAGCAGGAAGGTCTTGTATCTCTGTGGGAGCCTGGAAGCAGACTGCAGCGACGAGTTTGTAAAGCAGATTTTGAAATCTAAAGTGGAGGACCATGCAGATGCTTCTTTGTTTTTAAAAGCTCTCATTCTACATCTGGAGCGTTATGACATCCTGAAGAAGGTGTATAAAGTTGGAAGGAGTGATATAGAACAGCAGACTCTAACCAGTGCAAACGTTTTCCCATCTTTCAGGTAAGATATAGGTGGTAATGTATGTGTTTAAAGTGATGGATAGATGGACACACATAGTGTGTGTCATCATTGTATGTTCCCATATATTGGCGAAATTGGCATTTAACCCATCCAAACCCAGGTGGAGCAGTGGGCAGCTATTGAAGGCGCCCGTGGAGCAATTGGGGATAGGGTGTGCTGCTCAGAGACACAAGATGTGCAATGACTGGGGATCGAACCTGGGAC